CCTGCAGCCGTTCTGAGCCCGCAGTCGCCTTCTGTTCTGCTCCTCCTGTGGGAGAAACCCAGGCTGTCAGAGGCGTGGAGGCCACGCGGCGGGGCCCCGGTTCCTGCCAGCAGAGGCAGGGACCCGTGCGCGCCCCCTCCAGGCCCCCTTTGCCTTTAAAGTCCCACTCAACACACCCTTTCCCGTATCCACCAACCTGCTTCGGGGCCCTCGAGGTCGCCCTTGTCCTCGGGTTTCTGTGGCTCGTCCTCGTCATTCTTCTCCAGATCGATGTTCTCCTCCTCCTCCTCGTCCTCGCTGCGGTTCCGTGGCGTCCATGTCATCTTGTTCTCTTTCTTGAGGCGCCGTCGAGCGTTGGCGAACCAGGTGGACACCTGGGTGAGGGTCATCTTGGTGATGATGGCCAGCATGATCTTCTCGCCCTTGGTGGGGTACGGGTTCTTGCGGTGCTCGTGGAGCCAGGCCTTGAGTGCACTGGTGCTCTCTCTGGTGGCATTCTTCCTGCGGCCAGCACCGCTCAACTCCACTCCACCATACCTGTGGGCAGACAGGGTTCCAATCCCCCCCACCGGCGGGGGGTGGGGGTGGGGGGGACCCTCGGGGGGGGGGGGGGGGGAGTAGGCAGAGATTAAGTGAGTGGTGGTGGTGGTTGGGGTGTGGGCTTCACTGCCACCTAAGGCTGAAACCTACTTTTCCTCTGTCCCTGGGTCTGCATGTCAGCGCGGCCCTCACTCAAGCTTCCCCTGAGGCAGACCGAGCTGGTTAATTCAAACACAAGTGACCCCTCCCCCTCCTCAGAAGGCAGTGGGTCCCCCAATTTCTAAATCTGGTCCTTCAGGACCCCTGAGGCTGTTCAGGGCTTGGCACACCACCTTGAAGGCCCTCATCTACTGAGAAACCCGGGGCTCAGATCTGGCCTCTGCAGCAGGGCCCACGGTTCACTTAGAGGCCTGAGCAACCTCGGCAGCGACTCAGAGCTCTACGCCAGGGCGGTCGCTTGTTGGGTGCAATAAGGGACGTCGGGCTCTTTCTTTAATCCTCGGAGAAACTCTAAGGACAAGCTGAGCTTTAGCCTGCACACCGACGGTCCAAAAATACTATCCCTAACCGAAGCGGTTGCGCTTTTCCAGAAAGCACACCCGGCCGAAAAAACCCGGATACACCGCAGCTCGCTGGACGTTTCAGAATTTAATACTTTCAAATCGGATTGCGAAGATAGGATTATGGATTTGCAACATTTTGGAGGATTAATTAAAGGCGAGGCCAAACACATTTACATAGATTTTGCTCGCTACCGCTGTTCAGAATTCGGCTTTGCTTCTTTTGAACTACTTTTCTAAAATAGCAAAACAAAAAGAAAAAAACGTAAAAAAAAAAATGCAGGTTGGCCCAGAGCTTTGAGCCAAATGTTGTTCTTTAATAGTCACCCCCAACCCCTCCCCAAACCCTTCCCTTCTTTAGCTAAGCAATCGCCGGGAGACGTGGTGGCTCTTGAGGGAGCTACTCCGGAGCCTGAGGCTTGGGCGAAGGCGAGCAAGACAATCGCTCAAGTTTGCAAGGGCCGCGAAGCTGGGCGGACGAGGTGGCGCCTAGGCCCGTGTCCCCCGCAGCCAGCCACGGTCTGCAGGCCTGGTCCCGGCTGCCCGCCCTCCCGCCGCGGATCCAGCTCACTCACCACGTACGAGAAGGCGGCGGCGGCTGCAGCCGCGGGGTCAGCGCCGTACTGGAGGTGCGAGTTGTAGCCCGGAGACGGAGCGGTGAAGGCAGTGGAGCCAGCGTAGGGCGAGAATGCGGAGCCCGAAGACGAGCGACCGAGCTCATCCGTGCGGGGCCCCGAAATGACGCTGGTGCTATATGCGGGGCACGAGTAGAGCGCCAGCG